GACATGGACGCCACCTACCGTGCCATGTACTCGAGTGACCAGCCCCTGGATCCCCTGGACATGCACATGGACATGGATGGGGACTTCCCCATAGACAGCTACAGCGATGGCCTCCGGCCCCTCTACCCCACTGTTGACCACATGCTGGCCTAACTGCCTCTACCCCCAGTACGGTCCCTTCTTCCCTCCTTTCCCACCTCCCCACCCCCTCTTATTCCCCCCCACCCCCTCCCTTCCTGCCCACCCCAGCCTCTCTCAGGTCTCCACAGAAACCCAGGGAGCCAGTGTGGCTTCGGGGAGACCTGCCCTATCCTGCTTTGTTCCAAGACCTTGGCCTGGGGGGCGAAGTCCTGCTCTGAACAGCTCCCTCCTCTCCCCCCGTGGGTGGCAGGTGGGTGCCATGGCCTTGGCATGACCCGGACCTCGCCCTCTGCTCCACCCCCAGGTGCAGCTCCTCTTTTGAGAGCCTTGGAGCAGACCATGGGGGCAGCTGGGACAGTGCCTGAGCCTGAGCCGGGGAGGAAGCCGCCCACTTCCTGCTGACCCCAGGCCTGCAGAGCTTCTCCCCTGCAGGGTCTTTCTTGGGATGGTGACCTGCTCCTGCCTTCCTGTCCTGGACTGTGGTCCCACCCAGGGCCCAGGGGCCCTCCGGGACCCCACGGCCCTGGAAACTGAAGCTTTAAGACAAGTCCCCGCTGTTTCCAGCCCAGCACCCCCCACCCCACCAGCTCGGCTTGGCACCCAGGCCCTGCAGGTCTCGGGTTCCTTCTCTGGCCTGATGCTTCCACCAAACGCCACCTGACCAAACACCCTGAGCCTCCTGGGCCTCCAGGCCCTAGGTTCAAGGCTCAAACCCCCTGGAATCCAAAGTTTCTCTTGCAAAGTTCAGGGACCGCCCAGGGGAGATGACTTGGCGACTCAGGGAGCCAGTCCCCCCTCCCGGAGGAGACTGCCTGCTTCTCTCTCCAGGACACTAAGCTGGCTTTGGCCCTTCCGGGGAGCTCCCAGGACACCGCCCCTGCCCACCCCACCCACAGACTGCCCTAGCTGACCCCAGAAGTGCTCTTGGCTGACCCCTCTGGTGTGCGGTGTGGTGAGGGACTTTTCCTTCCCTTTCCTGTTTCAGCCCTCCCCCCACCCCTCACCTCTTGCACAAGGAGTGGGGTGCTGGGGAGGCCCCACGGAAGAGTTTTATTGTTTCCGCTTTACGATTTTGGTTATTGGTATTT